ATTCTTTATCAAAGGAACAAAGCTAAGCATTTTCATTTTAACAATATAATCAAGAATATTATTCAAAATAAGAGGAACATGAATGAAAAATAAAGATTTGATATTCATTTTTATTTCTTAATAAAATAATTTTGTAATAAAGATAACAGATATAACAGAATTATTATTTAATATATTAAATTTATAATATTGATTTTTTCTATTTTTAAATCAATTATTATGAAAGATAAGAAAGCTTTTAAATAAAAAGCAGTTTATATTTAATAAAACAAGAGTAATTTATGAATTTAGATTATAAAAAGAAGAAAAGTATGTATTAGATAAAAGCAAACAGTTTTTAGTAATTGCTTATTTTACATAATTTAAATCAGTTAATAAATTTGAATATTAAAAATGAATTAAAGGGATGGACAAACAGAAAAGATTGAGAAAGACTTTTCAAGATTGTTGGAGAGATATAATCGTTCAAAATAAGTCATTGATTAATTGTATTAATCAGGTGGTAAGAATGATACAACAATACGTTCTGAAAAAAATAATAAGGAAGAGAAAGAGAAGGAATATGTATCTAGAGATAAGTATAACAAAATGAGAAGCTTGAATAAAGAGCTTAAAGTATAAAATTGAATTAAAAAATAAATTAGATAACTCTAAAAGAATATATCGATAGAACAAAAGAGTTGGAATAGACAATAGGAGGTAAAGATGAATTAATTGAAAAGTATGAGAAGGAACTACGAGAATAATAGGAAAATTTGTATAATCAATTACAAGAATAGAAAGAATAGATTTTGAAAGAAGATTAATATGCACGAGTAAATGAAGATCTTAGAGCATAATTAACTTAGGCAAAATAGAAATTAATTAAAAAGAAAGCAAAAATATAATTGCTTAAGGATTTCTAAAAATCAAATGATGTAAAAATTATAATTAATGTTTGTTTTTAGAATAAATTTGAAGATTAGAAACAAGTATTTTAATAAGAATTAGAGAGAGTGCAAAAATTATGTGAAGAGTTCTCAAATGAGATGTAAGATTAATTGATTAATCTTTAATTAGTAAAGATTCTGAAAAGAGACTCATATGTTTAAGTGATGAAAATGAACAATATAAATAATTATTAGATTAAAAAGAAGAGGATAGAAGATATTTAGAGCTAATGATTTAAGACGAAAGAGATAATGCAAATAAAATAAATTCTAAAATTTAGGAATTTTTGGATGAAAAAAAGATTTTATAAATTACTATAGAAAATTAAGGGAAGAAAGTTTAAGATCTTGAGGAATTATTGAAATAAGCTGATGTGAGATATTAGATGCTATAAGGAAAGTTAGATTAAGAAAAATAAGGTTTGATTTGTGAATTATAAGATACATTATAGAAAAGAAAATAGAAAACTAAATAAATGCAATCTTAGATTTAATAATTAGAATAGAAATTGTAAGAAAAATAAAAAGAAGAAATCATCGTTAATAAATAAATTTAAGATTTATAAGGAGAATAAATTAAATTATAATCATAACTTGAAGATTAGAAACATAAAACTGATTAAGTACTAAATGAATAATAATTCAAAATTTAAGAGATAAAAGATTTAAAGGGAGAAATTGAAAAATATAGACAGAATCTTTAAATTTAGGATGATAAACTAACAAAATATGATATTTAATATTAGATTGATTAGAAAGAGAAATAAAAATTGGTTAATGAAATTGAGATATTTGAATAAGAAAATAGAAAATTATAACATTTGTTATATGAATAAGATAGAGATATTGATTACATGAGATAATAATAAGAATAAGTATTAAAGTTGATTAAAAATAATAGGAAATTTTACATATTGAAAAGAAAGTTGATTCTTTAATTACAGAAGTTCATGTTGCTAGAGAGGAGACAAATGAATGGAGACGAAATGCTAATGATTTGAAAAGATAGTTATAATAGTAAGAAGAATAAACTAATTAATTTAAAGCAAAGTATTTAAAAAGTAAATAGAATTCAAAAAATCTGGAAAATGAATAACGATTTGTAATAAAATTAAATTAATTTAAAGCTTGAAGAAAAAGTGAAACTATTAGAAAATGAGAAATTGCTTGGAGAGAGAGAAGCTTTGAAAAATACTGTAGTTTAATAAAAATCAGTTTAATAAAGTAAAATTAAAGTGCTTGATGAAATTTAGAATATGATAAAGTAACATAAATATAGAGAATGAATTTTTATATTTAATATTAATGAGAATAGCAAAAGATGGAGAATATCCATATTTTCATCATTTAAAAAATACAATTGATGAGAAAACTCAAAAGCTCTTTGACAAAGATGTCTTAAATGAATAAGAAAGAAATACTGCTGCTGATCTTTACATAGAATACAATAAAAATATAGCAGATGTTAATAAGTTTTTATTATTAGAATATGCAGTATTACAAAATAAAGTATTGATTTAATAAATATATTAGATAACTAAATGTCTTAGAAGTCGTTGTTATGATGATATTTTTAAAGATAGATAATCAATAAGATTTTGTGTAATAGAATGTACTCAAGGTTTGAAAGATGCTGATAAATTTGTTCAAGGATAGTTTCAATAATTGAGAGATGAATTTTAAGAATGTATGGAAAAGACAAATACAGGATAATGGATGATTTCAGGTGTTTTCTAATGTTATCATAATTTAAATGAAAGGTTTTCATAATTAAAATTAAACATAAGAGAAGAATTCAATTATTATTAATGATATATATGTGTAGATAATTATTCATTAAAATAAACTGTATAAATTTGTACAGAATTCTTCTATTGTAGATTATTCTTTATGTTAAAAATAGATATATCCCTATTATTGATCAATATATGCTGGTAATCTTTCAGTAATAATCATGTTCTCTAAAAGTTAATAGGCTTTATCTTCCATAAGTTTACAATATTGAGCCAATTTATTAATGGATATATTGTTATAGAATCTACTGATAGCAGTAATAATATGTTCACAAAATAATTTGGGATCAGTTTAAGTTTCTCTAGCAAACTCTTCAATATCAGACCACTTTAATAAATCTTGTTGAACACTATCATAAATTAAATTACATTGACATACTTTGATTTTAAAAATGGAAGCCATTTTGATTTTTAACTTCGACTATCCCTATAAATGGTTAAGAGAAGTGCTTGTCTTTTTGCAGAAGCAGGAGCAGCTAATCCATTAATGATTGCTTTTTTTAAATAATCTGGGTTCTTTTAACTTAGATTATAATAGATAGAAGCAGCCTATAATCTTTTTTGATCATGTTCATATATTAAAGCCTAAGCAATATCACATTTTAATTTTTCTTCGGCACTTAATTTTCCTCTTCCCTTTTCTAAGTTTTAGGTTAAAATTTATCTAGCTTCTTTATAGGAGTCTTCTATTTGCATTCGTAAATAAATAAATAAATAATGAATCAATATTTTAGTTTATTGCTTTCCCAAAATCCAATATACGATTATCCATATTTTTAAGTATAAGTACCTCTTCCTTCCATTTAATCTTTTTAAAATCCTCCAATATAAAAATCTCCATTTGAGAATGTAATGTTTCCTATTCCATGTTTTCTATAATTGATATATTTAAATTATTACTTATTTTAATAGAAATCTCCTTCATATTTTTCCCAATAATGCTAAATTCCAGGGAATTCATTTATATTTAGAAAAGCATCCATAATATCTGGTTTATTATTATAATGAACTCCAAAACCATGAAAATATCCATTTAAAAATTATCCATTATATTCAACAGTAGAGTCTGAATAATAAAGAACTCCTTAACCATTCATTTACTCATTCATGATTTCTCCTTCATAGTATCTTCCATCAGCAAATTATAATTTATCTTATCTAATTCTACTATTATAAGGAGAAAGTTAAAGGTTAGATTGTATTTATTAAGGTTGTTATTTATCAATTTATTGTTGTTTAGATTATGTGATTGTCTATATCAATTATTAATTATTAGATTGTAATGAATTACCATAATTTTGTAGACTATTATTTCCAGGTATGGATTAAGAATTAATGAATTGTTATTCTGGATATAATGGAATATTAATTAATCTTGATGTTTCTGTAGGAGATTTATAAGGATTACCTAAGAATTTAGATTAACTATTAATTTGTTAAGGTATTTTTAATAATAGATTAGTACTATCAGTGATTTTACATTATTAAGTTTCTTTTAGTTTATTTTAAATATCTTAGTAATTATATCTCTATAGAGGATCTACTTAAACCATATTTGAAATAATATCTGCCAAAGTGCTAGGATATATTTTATATAATTCACCAATTCTATTTGTTATTTTCTATTAATCAATATTATTATTCTAATAAAGAGAATCACAAGATTTAGCTATGCTTTATAAAATTAATCAAATACCCAATGCAACATGGAGAAGAAGCATTCCAAATGTGAATATAGTTGCTTTCTCAATTGAATATTTAAGAGATAGATCTAATTTCAATTCTTCGGGTGCTGGATATAGATGAGGAATTTATTTTCCCCAAAAATCTATTGGACGATAAGAATTATCAAAACTTCTTAATTTCCAAACATCATTTTCACCTTACCATAAATTATTAAATCCTATAAATTGTTTTTTTTCAAGGTTTAATTACGCAAATACTACACAATCTATAAGATGATATAGCTCTTTAGAAGAATAATCTTGATAACCTCTATTTTGAAGATACTCTGCAAAGCTTTATATTGGATGTTCAGCAAGCAGTTGAAGTTCATAGAAAGTAGAACAGAATTCATCATGAGTCACAGTATTGTGTTTAACAATTTAAAGAAGAGTTTGACAAGTTTTAGATTGAGTCAAATCTTTTATTGCTCTTTTGAATGAATCTTCATCATGATATTTGAAAGTCCAAAATTCTAATTTTTACATCGTAGTTTTGTTTTAGAATAACATGTAGGTTGATTATTTATCTATTATGTCAAATTATTTCAAGGTTTCTTCAAAGAGTTAGGATTGAGTTTGTTTTGGTTAAGGAATTCCCATATAAAATAAAAATAAAAAAGAAATGAGTTTAAAATAAACAAAAGCAAAAAATCTAAATTAAGTAGTAGCACAGAGGTAGAATAAAAGAGTGACTTAATGTCCAAACACATAAAAAAAGAGAGTAAGAAAAATAATAATAAGGGAATAATTGAGGATAAAAAAAACAAAAATGCAAGAATCTGCAAGAGAAGATGTTTTAAAAAATTTAGAAACATATGTAGAGTTATAAGTTTAAAGAGGTCCTAATAATATTTTGAATATTTAAGAATTTAATCTTTTTATACAAATCTTTGAATACTCTCAAAGAGATGCGAAAGATTATGAACAATTCAAATGATTCTCTATAATAAAATGAAATTTATCAACTATTTTAAAATATGGATTGAAAAAGTTGATGGAATTAATTTAACTCATATCAGAAAAGACAAATTTGATGAAATTTAAGAATAATCAATCTTAATATGATTATGATTCTTATCCTACTTTTTTAATAAAAACACATATTTTTTTAGTATGAAGCATTGCCTTGATTTGATAAATGATGGCATTCACATACAACTATTTCAAGGCCTCACTTTTACTTAATTTTGATCAAAGTGGCACAATTTGGTATTCTTAAATTAATTCATTTGAAAATTCTTTAGAGAAATAAATCTCATCATAATTTGAAAAGTTTAAAAATGATTTTATTCAAAAATATCTGAAGATTAACTTTAACATAACATTGGGAGAATTGATTTATAAAACTAGGTTGTAATATTTAATACCATTTTTCAGAAATATTTTATTCAAAGAAATTGGGCCCAGAGTTTTTAGTGGGATTTTGATTTTAGATTAAAAAGATTTCAACTAATAATTTAAATAATTTTTAAAGAATGAAAAGATTAAATTCAATCATCATCCAAAAATTCTATCAATTTATGGATTTCTTCAAAAATTTTATATAGATTTATTTAAAAAAAGTAAAAAAAAGTGAGGAAATAAATTCAGAAGAAAGATAGTAGGAAGATGAATATAATTGTAAGAGAGAATTCTCAATAACTTAATAATTATGATGATTTTTAATTTATTTTCATTAAAGTAATTATCCATTCGAATACACTCTAAATTCTGATAATTTTAAATGAGTAGCATCAAGAGTTTTTGTTTGTTAAGAATGTTATGAATTATTGGGACTCTAAAGAATTGATGGTCTTGGTATAATAAAAGTTAATATTGTACTTAAGAAAAGTCCTATCATCCTCTTATAAATATCTGTCAAGTTATTTTAATTTACTACTAAAATGAAAATCTTGCAATTAAATTCTATGGGTGATTGATGAAGTTCTAAATAAGAGAGAGAATTAATACACGTTAGTTATTTTTTTCATGAGGATAAGATTTTCCATCATATCCTATTGATGTTTAAATAATTGCTATAACTTCTTTTTTGCCTAACATAATTTAACTTGTTGAGATGAGGCTTTCTTTTCATGAGCAATTTCTAGTAATTTAACTCTAGAATAAAAGAATAGAATACTTGATTCGTTAATTTTCTTCTCCAAGTTGTTGTTATTCTATTTACTTTCTTCTGTTAATGGATTGATTTCTCATTCTCTCAACTCTTGTCACAACACTAGAAATTTATTTATTTTCATATCCTTTGATGCTAGCTAATCGTTATTTATGGAGTGAAAATGCCCTACTATTTTAAAGACTTACATTCGTCTACTACGAAGATAATCATATTCTTAATAACTCATTAATTAATATTATTCTTCAGTTGTTGGATCTCTAACTACTATTTGATTACTTTCTATTCTAACATTGTGATTTCTGTTGATTATTCAAATTAGGAAATGGCTGCATCTAATTTACTCCTCAGTCGTAAGAAATCCGACTTTAATGATGCTAAATCGATCTACTACACATCTTTTCCATTACATTTTTCCTATCATTTAATTATAACTAAATTGATACTTGATGATAAGTCATTGATTTACGATTGAATTACTTATTACAATATTAACATGTTTCTATTACATATTCACAGACAGATAAATGATCTCCTTTTGCTCTTTTTAATGTTGTTACAAAACAACCTGGTGATGGACATGGAATACGTTAAAAATCACATTCTTCAACATGTTTCTAATACTTCTTGTAGTCCAGTGTCACTTTACAACCATATCGACGATTTACACATCCTATTACCATATCTCGATAACTCTAATAAATTGCATTATTTGCTGGATTGAAATAATTCAATGCTTTGCATTTCTAACAAAATATTTTTGGCCCTCTTGATTTCTATTTTAGATCTCCATGACAAGTTTAACACAATAACTTTTAACATCGATAACATTGAAGAGGTTATTATGGAACCAATTAACATTCAATACATAAATTTGGCTGAAGGTGTACTTTTACTTAATCCCAATTCAATATTTATCTAGTGTCAATTGGATTCATTATTAATAATTATATAAATCACTCCAAAGTCATTTTAACTTAATTAAACTCTATCAATCTAATCATTCTACTATATTCTTTCTTTTGGTTCCATCATTATTTTTCAGTCAGTATTACATAATCTTTATTATTATAAACTTTTCTTCATTCTATTATTACTACTTCATCAAACTACTCTCTAACTTCTATTTACTCTAAATCTATAACTATTCACTATTATTTTCCTTTGGGTTTTACAATTTTCATCTCCAATATATCATTATATCATTAAACAATTTTTTCTTTTTTAAATATTTGTTTTAGATTTAAATTATTAATTCAATCTTTCAAAAAATCCATCATCATTTTTCTTATTATTATTATAATGTTATCAAAATGAACACACATCAAATTCAGACTTCTCTCTAAAATTTAATCTAAACTTTCTTAAATTAGTTTAATAATTATAAGAATAAATTCGTATCCAAATTTTTTATCTATTTCTAATAAATAATTTGTTAATGGCAAAAGAATTATGCTTCGATAATCAATAAACTATAAACTCTGATGAAGATGATAAATAAATTGATGTATTTACCTTTCCTACTACTTTTTTTTTATTTAGTGAAATAAGTACTCATTCTCTTTCCAATTCAGAATCAGCAAATTTACCAATCTCTTCTCCAAGATATAAATTCATGGGTGAAAATTATAGCTCAGAATACCAGGAACTTAATATTCAAGCTAAAACTTTTAAAGATAAAAAAATAGCTTTAGTTGATCATAACTTAAACAATTAAACGAAAAAGTGTTCTTTTCTTTTACGATCAAGAAATGAATTTATTTAAATGAGTCAGTAAACTTTAATCCAGAAATAAACTAACTGTGAATCATTAACTCAAAGAAATTCTCCAGAAAAACAAGAAAAAAAAGTGAAAAATGGTCAAAACTTATGGCTGCCCCCTAGACCAAAGAAATTCAATGAAAAAAGGATTATATCAAATAAATTAAATGGTATTTTGAAAGAAAGTTGTATAAAAAGCCCTGCATATGGAAATTCTAAAACTCGACCTAATTTCGATCTATTCATAGGAAGACCTTCAAACAAAAATGTTTCTTTCAAATTTACTATTGAATAAATCAAAACAATGAAAAATATAAACAAATCAAATATATTCAGTGCAATTAATGAAAATGAAAAGAAAACAAGGCTTTTTCTTGTTTGAACATGATTAAATTAGAATAATTTATAATTCCTCAAATCTTATACTTTATAAATATCATATTATTATATATTGATATTTTAATAATTTAATTCATACTATTAATGAAATATAAATTAATTTCATATGCCTAAAATTTGAATGAAATTTTAGAATGTCTTCAGAGCTCCGAAATAAAGTTTTTTTATATTTTTAGAATTCTGATAATTTTGATCTTAAGATTATGGTTATCATTAAATCGGTTTTAAAATATTTGAATGATAATTAACTAATTAAAATAGTCTTTATGTAAATAATAAAGGATCACTTAAATTTATCCTTATCCTTTTTGTCTGGAGGTGTAACATTGAGCTTAAGACATTTTCCTTTCTAAGAATTTTCAGTTAAGTACAACACACCAGGATATTAGCTAAATCATTAATAACACTTTTACACAGAAAATGCCATTCCAGTTAATTCAGGATATTGAGGCAATACAATATTATCAATATTAATGCCATTCTAATTGTAAACACTAATAAGTCCATCATCAGTCACTTAGGAGAATTCATATCTGGCAACATACAAGAGATCATTTGAAGAGACTGCACATGCCATAGGACCAAATCTTCCCTAAAATTAAATATAAACACTTATTAATAGATATAATAATACCTAAAGTAGTATATACCGGCATTAGCTTAAACAAATCTTAAAATTCTATTTTTGCCTGTTTCACATAAATATATAGTTTTTTAATCATTACCCATGCATATACCACTTGGAAATGAAAGACAATATAATGCTAATGCTTTACATGTTAAATTTTCTAGATCTGCTGCAAACAATGATCCTTTACAGTTATCAATTGCAGTTTCTCCAAATGGTCCAGAATCTGTAAAAAATATCATATCTAACATTTATTCAATGAAATACTATTTTTAGGAGAGAGTAAAAGTGAATTAGGACCTAAAAGAGGCATTCCTTCAAATTCATTAATAAAATCAATAATTTCATCATTATCCTCTTCTTGACAAAATTTCTGGATAGATTATCTAGCCATATTAGCAACGTAAGAGACTTTATTCTTATTATCTATTTTTATTGAATGAGGCTAACTAGATACATGAAAAAATGTCTATTTCTAAAATGAAAATCATACTTTTTATTATTCATTCTTGTATTAAATAATTTCTCCATTTTATGCTGCAACATATACAGCTCCATCTACTTCGATTGGACTATTTAATTAGGATTGCTATTCAATAATAATTTATGGAGCAGACATTTTTAAATAAAATATATAATAAAAGTTAATATGGATAAACAATAACTGCGTATATTATTATTTTGAATTGAGATAAATAATGGTAAATACTTATATGAATATTTATATATCATTCAACTTACATCTTTTATGTTTGCTTTTAGTATTCATCAAACATATACTCTGCTTAATGATCTCTCAAATATTATGTGGATCTAACATGGTCAATGAACATTGAATATACCTAAAATACTAATTATAATTTACCCTTCTAACATCTTCAACATCCACTTCATTAGATTTTCTCTTTTATGCAACTAAATTAGCAGTTGTAATTAATTAAATAGAATATCTTAAAGTTGTATCTACTCCAATTTTGGTTAAGACTTCTTTTGCTTCTTCAGTCATTTCAACATCTTCTTCTTCACATCTATTTTTAAAATTATTTGATACCTGATTTCAAGAATGCTTCTTATTTCTGCTTCATTATATGGTTCTGTCTAAATAATTAAACATCTATCCAAAAGATCTATTGGTAGTCCATGCGGTCTAAATTTATTAATATGTTATATTTACCCTTTATAATTAGTTCCACGAATATTAGTTATGCCTCTATTTGTAGCTAAGATTACAATAGGTGCTTTATCTGATTCTAAAGCTCTGTTAAGAAATGAAAAACATTCAATATCTAACATATGAACTTCATCAATAAATAAGACTCCAGGAACAATATCTGCTTTTCCTTCTTCTTTCCATTCTGCAACTTTAGAATCTATTTAATCTCTTATTTCTGGATCTATTTCACCTGTGTCTCCTGAAAATAAATCTAAAAATCCTTTCTATCTAGAATTTATAACATCTATCTCATGCAATGTAACTGTATGAACAACTTCTTTTCTTTTTTCTATTTCTCCTTCTGGACATTAAACATGTCTTGTTTAAGGACCAAGAGCATCAAATTCAGAAGCTTTTGCAAAAGATCTTCCTAATTTACTAATTCTTCCAGAAACTTTATCAATTGTTATTACATCTCCAGAGGATATTTTTTCTTTTGTAATTGATTCTATCATTTTAGCTCCTAAATCATATATTGTTTCCATTTCTGTTGTTTTTAAAGTTATTTTTCCTGTTTTTGCCCCTGAAGTTGCAGATTTATCAATTTCTATTTCTACAACTTCTCCCTCCACTATTTCTGTTTCTTCCTTTATTCTCACACCAATTGATCTTCTGAATGCCTAAGTTAGAGATTCAGTCTTTGACATTTAAAGACTGAAAATTTCTGAACCTGCCATCGCTGTAAATGGAATATCATTTCCTAATGCTTTTGCAATACCCATTGCAATTGCTGTCTTTCCTGTTCCTGGCTATCCAGCAATCAGAATACTTCTTCCTGCTATTTTACCAGCACGTATTGTGTTAAGAATGATACCTGCTGCTTTCCTTGCTTTTTTCTAAGTTAAATTTTTTAATTATTCCGTACCTATCCAACCATTCCTTAGGATATATTTCTTGGTTCAAGATCACCATCTAATCCTAGACCTCTGATATGAGATTGAGCACCCACTCTTTCAACTCGAGTAGCTTCCTTGTATTCATTTATTTTTGGAGCATTAACTGTGGTCATTATTATAATATTTAATCAATAACTTTAAATATTAAAATTATTTTTTTTCAAAATTACATAGTTTCTATTCATTTATTATTAAGAGCTATTTCTATTATTAGCATAAATAATAAAATTAGATATTATTTTTCAAATAAAAATGATCCTAAAAGGGGAGATAATCAAATCTAAACAAAAAGTTTAATTCAAAATCTCTTAACTACCGAAAGAAAGCTAGTTAAACTTAAAGAATATCAAAATTTTTTTATCAGAAGTTGATATCAATGAAGAATATTATGATAAATCTCAAGTTTTATCAGAAGCAGCATTATAATATTTTTCTGCCATTGGATTCAACTAAAATTTTGATTTGTCGAATGCTAAGTAATGGATAAAATCTTAGAATTTGATTGAACTTACTTATGTATTAAAATGGATATACAATATATCTTCAGATGATGATAAAGAATAAATTGAAATTGTTTTTGATTCAAAAGATGATATTGTTAAACGCATAATATTACTAAATGTAGCTCTAGAATAGAAAAAGGCAACATCTCTACCCCTTGATCTTGTTAATAATAATGAAAAATGTGAAACTTTGTATGGGTTATCTCTGAATATTTAAAAATAAATGGAAAATCAGGATGTCAATTTACTTGTACCTCTTCTATTAAAAATGGTAAAATGTAGTAACTAATCAGCAATCAAACAATTAATCTTAATAGATTTATTTGACAAAGTTTTTTCTAAATTTCCTAATCAACAAAATGAACTCTTTAAATAGATTTAAAGCAACAATATCTTTCAATAGTAAAATTGGGAAGAAGAATTTTAAGATTTTATATAATAAGAATTAGAAATGCCTTACTTTTATTTTCGAAAAACAAAAAAGGTTTATCAATTCACAAATCAGGACTACAATATTATTCTAAATAATTTTAAAAAATGGGAAAAAATTTTAACAGAATAATTATAAGAAAAGGTCAGTCCAGATGATTTTTTTTAGAATATTACATAAGATGAAAATAAGGAGGATGAAATTTAAGTAGGGATAAAACGTTAAGGAACGAATAGGAAAAAAATAAAAGTTGTTTAAAAAGATCCTAATGAAGCTTGTGTTAGAGGTGGATTATCCAAGAGCGTGGTTGTCCAATAACCAGTTAAGTAAAACCTATTTTAATCAAATGTAGAATCTAAAACTAATAGTTCAAATGGTAATCTAGATTCTTAAAATAATCAACTTCCTCCTTCATAAGTAACTCCAACCCCACCTCCTCCACCTAAGAATGGAATTCCTAATCCACCTCCACCACCTCCTCCCCCTACAAAAGGAATTCCTAATCCACCTCCACCACCTCCTCCACCTACAAAAGGAATTCCTAATCCACCTCCACCACCTCCTCCACCTACAAAAGGAATTCCCAATCCACCACCTCCACCTGCAAATGGAGGACCATTTGCTCCTTTACCTATTTAAATTGTTGCTCCTACTTATAGTAAATTTAAATTTCCAGCTATTGAAAAAGATATCGATAGTACTATCTGGGCTGCTAAACTTTAAGATTTTGAAGTTTAAGTCAATTAGGGTATTCTTAAATATTTCTTCCAAAAGGAGAGATAGAAAGAATCCAAAGTTGTTCAAAAAAAAAAGGTCTAAAATGAAGCAGTTTAAATTTCACCATCAATTTTTAAGGATGAGATGGGAATTTAATTACTATAAAAAACTCTTCAAAAATTCAATTTAAAAGAAGTGATGGAATAAATAAATGAACTTGAATTCCTCTCTAAAATTCAAGATAACTAAGTGAGATCAATCGTTGATAATCTCAATTTATTCATGATAACTTAAGAATAGGCTTTAAATGTTGAATTCAATATCAAAAAGGCAAAAAGAGAAAGTGAATAAAAATAGCAGGAAGAAAACACTTTAGAGAAAAATGAGATAGAGAAATTATAGAGCCTGTAAGGTGAAGAAAAATATTAGGCTCTTTTGGAGTTTGATTAAAATTTAAATATTTTATATACGGATATTGAAGATTAATGTAAAGAAGAAGAAACTTAATTAATTATTACATAACTAGAAAAATAATTGGAATAGTCAAGAATTGATAGTTAAAATTTATATTAGAAACAACCATAAAATAAGTTAGAATTACAAGAAAAGGAAGAAGAAATACTTAAAAAATATGAAAATGCACTTTTAGAAAAACATTAGTTCCTAAAATCAAAAAAAAAAATATAAGATAAATATTAGGTTCATCCAAACGATCTTTTTCTCAAAGATTTATATGATAGAAATCCTCGAAACGGAGTTAAGATTGAGGCTTTTTACAAAGAGCATTTAGAGCGTAAAATTCACATTGAAAACACAGTTACAGATTATAGAGAAATTTTTGGTGAGCTCAAAAAGGATGAAGAATTGATATTGTATTTCTAATACATAAAATAATACGGAAAAATATTCAATAATATTAAAAATGATAAATTTGGTTATAAATTTGAAAATATACTTGCATTTTCATATAAAACTTAATAATTAGAAGGCAATTAGGAAGAATTAATAAGGTATATTGTAGCAAGCATGATGGAATAAAATACGATATTAGAAAAAGTAAATAGCATGATCAATCAAAATGTGCCTTATGAATAATTAGAAAACATGGTGAATTAATGGAAAGAATCAAAAAGTACGATGAATTAAAAGGAGTCTTCAGAAAGCTAAAACTGCAATACGAGAATGCTTGAAAAATTAAAAAAACTGATTAATCAAAAAATGCCATATCATTAATTAGTAATCATGATTAATTAAATGATGCTGTTTAAAAAATTGGAAGAAACTCCTTATAAAAATCTTCATGTTTTATCTTAACAGAATCGTGCTTTATCAGAAATTTAGAATATTATAAAAATATATAATGATCATTATGATTGGCTTAGTAAACATTTAAACAATTTGAGTATGAATGAAGCTAATAAAAAGTTTGTTGAAAAAGGACGAAAATATGCAAATGTGTATAAGGAATATATTTTTTAGATGTAGATAATATATGATGAAGATTCAAAAAATTTCAAGGAGATCAGGGACTTTATGTGTGATTCAAGAGAAAAAATTGAAAGCCCTAAGTTCTTTTCTGATATTTTGGAAATAAAAAATTAATTGAGAAATTATTACTTTGATATTAAGAAAAAGAAAACTTAAGAATTAAAATTATCTAGGAGAAAGTGAATTTATAAATAATTAGAGAATAATTAAATATTCTTTGAATATATATAATAAATTATATCATAGACATATATAAGTTTTTTCTGCATAGCCAATCATTCTTGATGAAGCAGATTTAGAAGGTGAAGGAGAAGCTTTTTGGAATATTGAAATTTTATAATATTGTAGAATTTTACTATGAAGAAACTCTAAAAAAATCAGAGTTAAGTTGGAAAAATATTGTAGTTTTAGGTTATTGAAGGAAATTGTTAAGTGAATCATTTTAAGACTTTAAGTTAATTATTATTAAAATTTTATATATAATCTTCCCGTTCCTGAAAATGAAGTTTTTAATTCATTGATTATAAATATTTAAATAATAAATCAAAAAAATGACGTATTAGTAAATCATTTTTGTTGTCCTTTTATGCTATTTTGTGCACGGCTAAGAATATGTTCATGAGTTAGGAGAGAACATTTTTCAATATACAAGGGTTTCTTATTGTTCTATTGATGTAATTAATTAATGGGATTGCGAGCCTTGCAAAAGGCATCCAAACATGAAACACATCTAGGTTCATAATAATGAAGAAGCATAAGCATAAGGTTATTGTGCTTATGATGAGGATTTAAATAGAATAGTTGTTGCTATAAGAGGAAGTGTAAACGCTGTGAATTACTTAAATGACTTAGATTTTATAAAAAGAGATTACTAATACTGTTTAGGATGTAAGGTTCATTAAGGATTTTATGATACCTATTAAAATATAGCTGAGGGTCTTGTAAATTGTGTCTAAGATTTAAATATTCTCTATCCAGATGCAGAAATCCTAGTAACTGGTCATTCATTAGGAGCAGCTGAAGCAACTTTTGCCGCA